TCTTCAAAAGCCTCAAATCCTTGCATGCAAATTGCTGCAGTCCAGTACTGGGGGGGATTCTTGCATTGTTAAGCTGGCCAAGAAAAGCACCCTTAGTCTATGAAGGTGACTCTACCCTCCTACAGTTTCAGACAGGAAATTAGACCAATCTCTTCTGCTGCTGCAGAGGATGAGACAGGCAAGCAGTGGAGGCAGGTCTTAACCAGTTTCACCCTGACTGGTCTTAGGGCTCTCTTAAGCCTAATTAAGAAGGCCACTTTAGAGGGGGGAAGAAAGAAGAGTGTCCAAGTGTATCTAATATAATTTCTAAATTAATTTAGTTAAATCAGTATGTGTTACGTGAGCAAGGCTTATTGTCAGAAAGCTAATTCTTAATTAAAATGAGAAATAGAGTGATGTTATCTATTACAAAGAAGACATGGGCTGAAACTACTACTGATGTGCATGATTTCTTCTAAAAATACCAGAATGCAAGGATTAGGTAAAAGTGAGTTAATGAGGTGTTGTACTGTACTCTGAAGTCTGCTTAAAATTAGCTGTAAATGTGTTTTTGCTTGTCCTAAATGCATTGCAGACAGACAGAGGTGAAGCGCAGTCATTTCCCCACACAATCTGTTTTGTTTGCACTAAGGTGCCATTGGGCAGTGCTGTGCCTTCTGGTGAAAGCACATTTTCACAAAAAGAGCCCACTTTCAGGATCAAATCACTTCTTATAAACTAATCAAATAAAAGATAGGAGGGGCTACTGTTGCTTTGTGCCACAACTCAGTCATGTCCAGGGAGGTGCAGCCACCGGTGACTGACGTGGGAAATCAAGGAGACAGGTCTCTGGTTAAACTCGGGAATACAGTTATTGGGCACCACCAACACAGGATTTAACCAAGCATAAACCAGAGACTAAGAACTAAGAACAAAGGCAGGGTGGTGGGTTTTATGGGGTAGAGCAAGGGTGGAGTTTTGGGTCTGGGTCCAATAGGGATACAGCAAAGGTGAAGTCTCAGGGGTACAAACTAATAGGGGTACAATAGGAGGGGTTATTAAAGTAAATTCAGCATGCATTAGCAACGTAAGAAGGTAGAACACTTTTGGCTGATACTTTATAAGGGATTTGGGGGTGGAGTAACTCTTCCCGGGCGTATAGGGCACATCCCCCAAGGCAGGGGGTGGAGTCCACTCCTCCTGGGACTTAAAGCCACACCACTCACCTCAACACTGCCCGTCTAAAATCAAATCCCCTCCCCTTTGGGTGGGAGCAGTCCACAGGCTACAGCCCTCCTGGCTAAACTCCCATTGAAAATAAAATGTTGCTAGGATTTACTGCGATTCCGTGTCTTCTGTATTCCACAGCTGTGCAGAAAGGTAACAATTTTTAGCATTTTGCACAGCACTGCAACTAGCCACAGGCTGTTAATTACTTCTGCAATCAGCAGGGCAGGGAATCTTCTATGCTTAACTGTAAGATGCATGAATTGTGGGCTACATGCAGTTCTCAGGATGTGGTCTGTGCCCCACAAAAATCTCTAAACAACTCTCAGCTAGGTGCTGCCTGGCCCCATGCAAAGGATTTCATGTCCCTCTGGCACAACAGGATGTATTTAGTTAGATGTAAGAGGTTGGCGCTTCCAGATGAGCTACAATCCCTGAAGAGAGGCAATCCCACCCTCAATCTACAATTTCTGATCTTCCAAAGCTGGCACTGGCCAAAATTACTGCCTGCATGGAAGCCCTATAGCATCTGAGAGCAGCCTGCACCTCTTGCCCACTAGCAAAATTAATAGATAATAAGGTATATAATCTACTAGAGGACCAGTATTCCTGTACTGCTACAGATATGAATTTGCCTTTTTGCTACACTCTTAAATTTTAAGGGACAGTGAATAGTTGCTGGAGTTCACTAAGTCAACCAAGTTTGTAATCACACAGTTAAACATGTAATCAGCTCTTCAGCCTGGAGCCAAACCTGTTCTGGCATTGTCTTGTCAGAGCTGGCATCTTGGAGCCTTGTGACAGAGGCAGTGCTTAGATAAGATTCTAACTTCTACAAAAAATGCTGGTTTATCCCTTCTTGGGGGAAAAAAAAATCCCAGTCTAGAAGCTGTGCAAGAGGGAAGTTTCTTGGACAGCATCTTAGCCCAGAAACTTCCTTCACATCCAAAGTCTGAGCAAAGGATGGCAGCTCAGACACAGTTCTGTGTGTCCATACTTCTGAGAGAGAGGGTCAGCATTTAAACCTCATCTGACCACAGCTGAGATCTACAAAGAATTTGCAATTAAGCATGTTCTGGTACCCACCTTTGTCTTTAGAGGAGCATGACAGTTTGCACTGTCTGAATGTATTAGCCAGCAGCAGTTAAACACAATCGAGCTGCCTGCTTCTAAGGTCAGGACAGAATACGCCACAGCTGCAGTCCTTCTCCCACTGGGTATGACTAATCACATCTCCTTCCCTCATATTCTCTCCATCTCTTTTAGGTGTTTGCACAGATAAAGTCTTTTTACCCAAAAGTGCTTTCATGTTGAAATAAGGGCTCGTTTTGTATTTTTTCAGCACACATGTAATTTTCTCAAATTCTGAGTAACACCCAGGGATGGTTAGACAGGGAGAAATCCCAGGGTTTGGAAGGTATTGTCAAATTGTTCAAGTCCATGACTGAACAGTGCAATTCATCACTTTACCCCCATGTGCCTGATTGCCAGATCAGGGGCTCTTTCTCCTTTGTTAGCTTTTCAAAGATGTGGGGTCCAGAAAGGATGTCACTGTTTTGCTCCCATTTCAGAATTACTTGTGAACAAAGCATTTTTTTATGCAGAGAAAAAAAATGCAGCTTCTGTGGTTAAAATAGTAGATTGAGTTGTAATTAACTTAATCACAATAATAATGAAAATACAGTCTTTTGAGGATAGCAAGGCCTTTAGCTGACTTTAGTTCCCATCTGACAGAGATAAATCAATTTAAAATTTACACTGGATATCAACATTGTTAGTAAAGAAGTCCCAGAAGAAGCTCAGAGTAACACAGCTATGTTCAGTATTTAAAAAAAAATAATCCATTTTGCCTTATAATAAGAAAGGGGACCTTTGTAAATTCAAGTAAAATCAAAGATTCTATTTTATGACTCGGAGAATGTTGCTTTTCTTAGTTTGTTCACAACACATAATTAGAACTGGGGTGTACTTTACTACGCACCACACAAGAAATTCTCTGTCTCACTAACCAGAGGGACTGATGGAGAACTCTCAATCTGTTACTAAAGGTCTCCTATCATTCAAAAAAATAGCTGTCAAACTTAATCCCACAGATGAAGCAGATCAAAAAAGAGACTTCAAATTATAATTTTAAAGATAATAAATTGAAGGCTTTTTCTTTTTTAATTGGTTCCCTTTGTGATTCTTTTAATAAACAGAAAAAAAGCTGAGCACGTGCAGCAGTCAGCTACAAACTGACTTTAACATACACACACACAATTTTGCAAAGAATGCTTCATTTTAGATGCCATAAGCCCTGTACAATTCACAAAACAGTGATTTGTGGCTTGAAGTACTGGACTGTCAAAAAAGTAATTAATTTTAAAAGTGTTTTTAATTAAAAAAATAATAGCTAATAGAGATACAGGACATAAAACCATTTGTGACTAAAAGGTCATTGATAATTTTTTATTGGAGTTTCAGCACAGCATTGTAGAAGTCTTACATTCATGCAAACGTTATAATGGAAAAGTCTTTTTTCAGTATTGGCATGTGTTTGATCTAATAGTGACACATGAAACGTCATTAGAATTTAAATACATATCTTAACTTTTATTGAATTGTAAGCTCTGTAAGTTTATAATATGTAGCACTGCAATTACTGATACTATATGTGGGAAGTCTCCCACACTATATTGGATTCTCTCATGTCTTCTGAAGAGAATGAAGGATATCAAACTCTTATTACTCATAATTTATATAGACATTTGGATGTAACATTGCTAAACGTCACAACACTATGAACTAAATAATTAACAAAAAATATTTGCACTATATTTGCATGCATTTTTTTTATTATTATTATTATTATTTTTAAAAAAATACTTAAATGTCAAGTCCAGGAGGTGCCTGAGTGATGAAACATTTCTCTCATTTAAAAGCCTGACAGAGAAATGGAATGACCAAGCTCTGAGCCACTCAAAGACAGGACAGCTCAGAGCCTGCCTTGTAGAGCAGGATATGGTCTGGGCTCCCACTGAACATTTGCTCCAGGGTTCCAAGAACAGTAAATATTTAACTTCCATGGAAACAGAAAGTCACCTGCTGTCCTTCCCATTAGCTCTATAACCCTGTCAGTTCCATAGTTAATAGCAACAGGTTTGGATCAACCAACACATGCCTACCCAAAGTCAGGTTCCTGGGCTGTAGGACTACAACCTGTAGGGCTTTTTACATACAGAGGGGTGCACTGACTTGAATTATGGAATCACAGAATAAGCTGAATTGGAAGAGACCCATCAGGATCATTGAGTCCAGCTCCTGGCCCAGCACAGGACACCCCAGGTGTCACACCATGTGCTTGAGAGCATTGTCCAAACACTTCTTGAGCTCTGTCAGGTTTGGTGCTGTGACCACTGCACTGGGGAGCCTGTTCAGTGCCCAACCACCCTCTGGGGAAAGAACCTTTTTTAATATCCAGCCTTAACCTCCCCTGACACAGCTTCAGGCCATTCCCTTGGGTCCTGTCACTGGTCATGAGAGAGAAGAGATCTGTACCTGCATCTCCTTTTCCCCTCACGAAGAAGTTGTAACTGCAGTGAGGTCTCTCCTCAGGTCTCCCCTCTTCTCCAGGCTGAACAGACCCAGTGCCCTCAGCTGCTCCTCGTACAGCTTCCTCTCAAAGCCCTTCACCACCCTCATGTCACACGGTGGGGCCCACACTGCACACAGAGACTGCCTGCAATGCTGGGCCATCACCCCCATCCCCTGTGTCCCTACCACATCCTCCTGCCAGGCAACACCCTGCCTCCTCGATGGCTCTAAGGCCCTGTCCATGCTCCATGATGAGCCAGGAAGAGCTGGTCATCAAAACAGATGCTTCACTGTGAGGGTGTGAGGCCCTGGCACAGAGAAGTTATGGATGCCTCATCCCTGGAAGCATTCAGAACCAGGCTGGATGGAGTTCTGAGTTCTGAGCAACCTGCTCTAGTGAAAGGTGTCCCTGTCCATGGTAGGGGGATTGGAACAAGATGATCTTTAAGGTCCCTTCCAGCCCAAGCCATTGTGTGATTGTGTGTATGGGCCAGCCAAGCCTGCACATCAGGTCACTCGGCAGGATGGGGCCCCAGTGCCACACTGAGTGTCTGTGTGAGGGACTGTCTGTCTGCAGGAACACCTAAGGTCAGAGACAATGCTTGTGTGAGACTTAGCAGGCCTGCCCTCTTCCCATTACTATGAGAAAACTTGTCACCAGAAGTTGGATCCTGCAGAATGAAGAGAATAAACACAAATGAAAACACAGTAGCTTTTGCAAGGAGCCCTCTCTACTCCAGAGGTCTTGTTACTCTTTCCAGCAACCCCACTGGCCCAGCTTTCTCCCTTCTGTAGTTTTGTTTTTGCTACCCCAACAGACTTCTGGAACCTATTTCCAGTTCCTTCAAGCTGAGTTTGCAGAATGCTCATCCTTCCTGGAAGTACAACAAGAAGCAGGAAACTTAAATATTTCTTTTTTCACTACTATTATGTAGGCCAGTCAATTGCTTTTGAACTCCTAACGCTCATCTCCAATAGTTAAAACAACTGATCTTGCCAGGTGTCCCAACAATTACTGTGGGTGCAAAACCTTGAGCTTCTGAAATTTCTATGTAGCTGGTCCTCCTTTATTTGGAAACAGTATCAAGAGCTTCTTTCCTATACAGCCATGAGAGAGGAGTGTCCAGCACAAAATGTGCCACAGCACTGATTAACTCCTCTCCAAGAGGAGTGGAGCAAGGCAGGCATGCTGAGGATATCCACCCCCAACCAATGCTGAAAAATTCACCAGGACCAGAGCTTTTCTGAGGGAGAATTCTAACAGCGACAAACTTAAACTGCATCAGAATTTCCCACCTTCTTTTTCATCAATAAAGTCTGAGCTTGTGCCACTGAAATCAATGGGAACTTTATTACAGACTTAATCAGAAGAGAAGAGATGGGAAGAAAAGGGGAAAAACAATTAAAAATCTTGTATTGCTAAGTTATAGCTCTTATAGAGAGCCTAATCAGATTCCTGTGTATGTAAGTCAGTATTTTCTTCATTAGTGCAGCAAGTCTGCAATTGCATTTATTCATCCATCTAGAGTGAAAAAAAAAAACCAAAAAAACATACATTTGGAAAAAAAATCTTTGAAGTGGGTAGACAAGAATTTAAAATATATTAAGCCAATAGCTTATATCACAATATGATCCAGAGAGTATCTATTATTCTATTCTTTATAAACCCTTTATAGATTAATTTATATGAATGGAACAAATATTTCTTCCATCTGTATTGAAAAAAAAACCCTCTCAACTAATCCAAAAAAATTTAAAAACAAACAAACCCCACCCCCCCCCAAAAAAAAGTTGGTTATAAACAAATTTTAGTGATTTTAGGAGTAAAATATTCCCAGCTGACAGTCATCATCCAGCTCACAGGTTCATCTTACTGTGACTGAAGTAGCCCACAAACCTGACACGGCTCACAGCTGCAGCAATACTGCCCTTCCTACCTGGATGGGTTATTGCTTTTGTTATTATAATTAAACTGATTACACACTTCTCAGGTTGAAAAAGGTTTCCTTTAATATTTAACTTTCCTGGAAAGATATGTATAAGAGGAGAGGTTTTTTAAAGTCTGCATTTTATACAAAACAAATAAGACCTCTTATTCTTTTTATTAAACTTGGAGGAGTTTGGGTATTTATTGTGCTTATTTCAGGGATTTCTTTGTAACCATAAGGCAAGAATTTATGATTTAACACTTGACTGAATCATGACACAAAACACCCAGGATTTATAGTTTCCTTACACAGTTCCCTTTGGTAACCAGTACACAACACATCAATCTTCAGTTGTTTACAGATGTCCCCTCTCCCTCCCTTCAGAGGTGTCAGTTGATCTGTAAGGCAGAAATATGAAAAATTCCAAATGCTTTGTGTCTATCCCTGAATCCCACTGGGTGCTCTGCCACTCATGGCTCCCTTTTCTCTCTTTAACAATGACCTCAAAGGACAATGTTCCACTAGTGCTTCTCATTTGGATACTCCTCTCGAATGTCCTGCATTTCCTGAGTCGTTAGGAAGGGATTGGCCAGCCTGAGGTCCAACAGAGCCCCCTGTTCCTTGACAGCCCCAAGAACCACACCAAAGCACTTTGGAGGTGCCAAGACTATAATCTGGTTCTCCTTCACTCTGGATTTCAGTAACATGAGCAGATACAGGGACAGGGACGTGATCCTGCCCCTCTGCTGAGCCCTGTGAGGATCTCCTGGAGTGCTGTGTCCAGCTCGGGGCTCCTCAGGACAGGAGAGACACGGAGCTCCTGGAGCAGATCCAGCAGAGGGTGACAGAAGATGGAGGGACTGGAGCATCTCAGTGAGGAAAGGCTGAGGGAGCTGGGCCTGTTCAGCCTCGAGAAGAGAGGGCTGAGAGGGGCCCTCATGCCTGTGTGTCAGTGTCTGCAGGGAGGGGACAGGGGATGGAGCAGGCTCTGCTCCGTGGGGCCATGGGACAAGAGGAATGGGCAGATGGATGTACAGAGGATCCACCTGAACATGAGGAAGAATTTCTTTCCTGGGCAGTGACCAAGCACCAAACTGATTGTCCAGAGAAGGTGTGGAGTCACCCTCACTGGAGATATTCCAGAACGGCCTGGACACAATCCTGTGCCATGTGTGTTCTGGGATGGCCCTGCTTGAGGAGGGAGGTGGGATCAGATGGCACACTGTGGTCCCTTCCATCCTGACCCATCCCGGGATCCAGCAGTCCCGTGGCACAACGGCAGCGCCATCCCCGTGTCTCGTGTGTGTCTCTGCGTCCCGCCTGTGCCCCGTGTGTCCCCTTGTCCCGCCTGCGTCCCCCTTGTGTCCCCCTGCCTCTGCCTGTGTCCCTGTGTCCCCCTGTCCCTGTGTCCCCCTGTCTCTGCCTGTGTCCCCCTGTCTC